TGATATTGTACATTAAGTAATTTTATCAGCATTTTTACTTTTGGATTTAATGAGAGTTATAAGTTTTGTCATCTTTCTTACTTCTTATTTAGTTATTACAATACTATTAAAATAATTAAGGACCTTTCAAAGTATCTTGTTTGCTTTGAAAAAAAATTAATTCTTATCATAAATTGAACGCCAATTACATTGAATGTGTTATATTTTCTATCGTATCAAAAATTTTCATAATAATAGTTGCACACAATATTATATATAATGCATTTTTTTTTTTATAGATTTGGAGTCTTAGTGTTACTACAAGAAAATGAGAAAATTCCAACAAAAATTACAACAAATATAACGATTTTTTATGTTGATTTTAGAAAAATCTTGACTTTTGGTTTAAGAAATATATTTTACCTTATTGTGATTGCATAGATTTATTAAAATATATTACAAATGAGAAAGGTGGTAGATTATGTAAAATATAATTTATAAATTGCAATGACATGTTATTTTGATGGTATATTTTTCTCTATTAACTAAATAATGCTCCCAATATGAAATTATTTTGGATCTATCACTGCAATTATCTTTCCAATGCAACTTCTATTGAATTTTTGCATAATACCTATGACAATTTTTCAACGATTGAAATATGGTCCAAAAAATAAATTCCAATAGAAATTCAGGTAATTGAAATCTTTATATCCACTAAAGTTCATGAAATTTAATTTGAACTCTATTGAGATAGCCAATGAAAGTAAGATATTCGTTGAAATTTTCAGTAGAATACCTTACCGTTGAATTTTACATTGCAGTATAGCAAAATTTTTGTAGTCCTTTCAAACATTATTTTTTATGTAGTATTTATTAAGTAATTGTGTTTACAATTTTTCTATTAAAAATATATTAAACACGTGAACTTTTTAGTTCTTATTTTTTTTTCAGAAATCACTCATTATTTTATCTCAAGATACCTATTAATTTACCAATTGAGTTACATTTCTTACATATTAAATATTATATAATTAAAATATTTCTTGTTAAGAACAAAAAACTAACAAGCGTTTAACAATTCAGTTCGATTACATCGATAAGTATAGTTTTAGAAGGTTTATATTTAGTTATATTAATTATATCATTTTTGTTTATTAGTTTGTTTTATATTTATTAGTACGTGTCACAACTTAGTTATTATTCATATTATTTCTTATATTTAATATTTTTTTAAAACTTTATCTTGTTCTTTCACATGTTCTTAACTGTAGATTTGTCAAAAAAGACATAATATAAAGAATAGAATTTTTTCGATCATCTGCCTCATTATATATCAAATATTTGTATATTCTATATTATATTATATTTAATTAAAAATTTTCATTAATATTTTAATTAAATATTTACAATTCATAAATTCAATAATAATATTTTCGAGTCAACTTTTGTTCATAAAATTTTAAAAATATATTATTTTCATTGATTTACTTATGTTGAATTGAGAAAAGTTAAGTTTTTTAATTACATATAGGGAGGATATAATGTTTCTTATATTTTTTATGTAGTATTTATTGAGTAATTGCGTTTACAATTTAAACTTTTTAGTTCCTATAATATTATTTTTTTTCAGAAATCACTCATTATTTTATCCCAAGATTACCTATTAATTTACCAGTTGAGTTACATTTCTTACATATTAAATATTATATAAATAAAATATTTCTTGTTTTATCTGTTCAATATGATACTTATATATTATATTAACAAAACTAATATAGTAAATAAAAAAGTTATTTAAAATTAGAATAATAAAGATATTTTTTTCTAATCTACATGTATAAATGTACAAATAACTATTGTATATCACCTCAAATTTACATATAAAATTAATAAGAACAAAAAAACTAACAAGCGTTTAACAACTCAGTTCGATTAGATCGATAATATATTTTTAGAAGGTTTATATTTAGTTATATTAATTATTTTATTTTTGTTTATTAGTTTGTTTTATATTTATTATTACGTGTCACAACTTAGTTATATTCATATTATTTCTTATATTTAATTTTTTTTAAAACTTTATCTTTTTCTTTCACATGTTCTTAACTATAGATTTGTCAAAAAAGACATAATATAAAGTATAGAAGTTTTTCGATCATCTGCATCTTTATATATCAAATATTTGTATATCCTATATTATATTATATTTAATTACAATTTTTTAATTAAATATTTACAATTCATAAATTCATTAATAATATTGTCGAGTCAACTT